CATTCAGACACCACAGCACACTTAGACATTGTTACTGACCAGGTGCATCAATCCATCGCTGCAGTCTACTCTTTTTCAAATGGGTACTTCCAGGAGGATACCAAGCCTTGTCACAAAGCACTCGTCATCCTAAAATGGTTCCAGGAACATGACAGTGATTTTAATTTACTTCACTACCCTGCACTTTCTCCAGGTCCCAGCCCAATAGAGCGCCTTCGAGTGTTGGCAATGGATTTTCTCTGTGTGAATGTCCTGGTAAATATCTGCAGGAACTGTGTATACCCAGTCAGAATAAACCGAGAAGTGGACTATCAACTTTTTAAACATTTTCTTAGAAGAGTTTCTGGTGTTTTGAAGCAAATGTCTCTTATGTAACCTCAACTGTGTATAGTGTTTCTTTTAAAGAAAGTCTTAAAGTGGCATATGAGTCTGCTCTTTTTACAATCCATTCATTTCTGTAAATGACTCTAATCTATGACCACTCACACTTGATTGCTTTAATCAAATGATTAATTCAAACAGTCCCTTGGCTTCATTAATATCTGGCAGAAACCACCAAGGTTAGTAGAAAACATCCCAGCCTCACTCCACATTTTTCAAAGTGACTGATTTGAAAAGTAGGAAAGTGAAAATTAGATCACCACCTTCTGAAAGTAGGATCAACCAGCAATTGTGTATTTTTGTTCTCATTGCCCAACTGGCAAAGTGACATGAAATACAGAGATGTGCTAATATCACAATCTAATACTCAAAGAGGTACGTGATTACAGCGATTTCACAGCTTTGGGATAATTCAAGGTGAAGATGCAGGCAGGAGAATGTTGTCCATCGTCCAAGTGCATTGCATTATAGTACCATGACTGGGCCCAGAGGACAAAAGATTCATCATAGTCCTGCATAAATTAGGGTAACGAGTTTACAATGATTTATTGACTTAATATCTGAACGTGATTACAGCAAAGGAGCAGATTGGAGTCATGCATGGCTGCCTTTGGATTAGAGGCATAAATGAGCGACACTGTGCTTGTGAGAGTATGTGTAAATGTGTTTGAGTTTGTGTTCGTGTGTGCGTGTGTGTTTGCGTGAGTTCGCAAAGGGGGAGTGCAGTGTATTCCACATAGCACGGTGTTAGTATGCTAATACCACAGCAGTGAGCTGTCCCTACGGGTAAAATCATCTCTTATTCAGGCTCTGGTTCAGCCATAGGCATTCTCACTACTCAACAGATAAAGAAACAGGTCTGGCTGTTCTTCTCTGTGTGAGTACACAATTTGTGTGTGCGTGTGTGTCCACATTTGAATTTTTGTTATTTTTGCTTTGTCAGAGTTCTTTGGCTGCCATTTGTCTCTGGCTGCTGTGTGTGTTCAATCTGTTTCATGTCACACAGTAAGAAGTAAGGCACCCTTATTATAAAAACATAGAAATTGTGACATCCATCCCCACTTTTGCTACTTCCTGCTCGCTTCACATCCTCACTGCTGTGATTCGTCTGGTGGCTCTGCAGTCAGTCCAAGCCGCCGTCTCTTGGGACACAAGGTGCAGCACTGCCTGCAGGAGCTGTTAGGGTGCATTTAGTCTCTCAGTTGTGTTTCTTACTATGCCACTCATTCCCTCACTCTCCTCTTTCTTGGTGGGTGTAACGATTTTACAATGCACTGCACTGTGAGGCTACATGCCAGAGGAGATCCATACTGCTACAAAGTGAAGAAGATAAGAAGCTGCTCCATAATTAATATCCAGGAGGGCAAACATATGCTGCCTTTTCTTTTTAGCAATTGCCTCTATTACCAGTGTTTTTCAGGTGGGTCTTGTGTGTGTTTTGCCTAAAGGCATGTGGATGTAGCTAACCCATTGGTGAAAGCTGTTGCGGGGCGAAAACAGCCGTTACTTGCTTTACTCATTTGGCAGTTTCAGCCATTTGAAGTCTGCTCGTACAACATGGCCTAATTATAGTTAACCTGCATGTCTGTGTACCAGTTAGATCAGCCAATTTCAAAAGTTTGAAAACTTGTTGCTTTATTTCATAACATATGTATTAGTGTTAATTACAACTTCTTCATGTTGGTTAATTATTCACAATTTTGCTGAAAGCGCTGATGCACACAAAATGTGAAAAATCTGCTGGCTCTAACAGACTTGGTTTATTTTCTGTCCGTTTACAAAATAGTCTGTATGAATTTATCGCATTTCTAGTCTATAGTTTTGCCATTCACCCATTCACAGCACTTTCTGTATCACACATCACTCACACTCTGCTGGGGTTCAGTATAATGCCCAAACACACTTTGGCATGTGAAATGAGGGAGACAGGGATCAAACGACCTTCTGGTTAGAATTCCAATCATCAAAAACAAATACTGGAATAGTATTTCTTATCAGTATATTCACCATGCACTACAATTATTATTTTATTTTATTTTTTAGTATTTTAATATAACAAATTCTTGAAACCTCCCAACTCACTGGATCATTAAAACAGGTTGTTGAGGTGGTTGGAAATTCATGTTTGTGGAAACATGCCTGTGCACGAGAGACTGAATCTGTAATCTTACCAGTATGATCCAGTGTCTTACCTGTAATCATTTGGTTGGAGAAAGATCTGATTATTTTCAAGGGCGTGTACACATTGATCTAATTAGAAATGCTTAATTGCAAATATTCATTCAGAAGATTATTTAAAATCTGTTCATTATCATAGGCTCTGAGAAGATTCACCCACTGCTATTTACCAAGGAAAGGTTTATGATTATATTTGTGATGAACAATAATGATCTTTTCTGACATTAGATAAAAGCTAATTATTTGAATTTAAGGTCAGACTAAAGGGACATTGTCCAGATACCATTGCCATGAGGTTTTACAAAACGTGATGTAACAGGAATATGGTATTAAATCAAGACATGCAGAGTAGTCTTTATTTTATTTATGTATTTATTTGTTATAGGATTTATTAATTTATTTTTTACAAGTCATCTAGATAAGTAGCAGTAACTTTATTCATCCCCAAATGGAAATTAGGTAAAAGGGAAATTAGGTAGCATTTGTTTGTAATATAATTATGAACATGTCACATGGCCTTTAGTTCAGGAGTGTTACTGGCAGAGACCAATCATTTATCTGTGTGTTAGTTGTGTCTGCTACAGCGTTCACACTGTCTGCGCTGTGAATCACCTTTCCCATGTTTTCCTTGTAGCAGTAATGACTCCGTTCTTTCACCGGCAGATGGCCACTCAGACTGAGATCAGCTTCGAGTTTCCTCCTAATCTAACTTAAAAAACATGAACTGGGTCTCGTCCTGCAACTTCGCTTGTTGAACGAGTGACCCAGCGAGCATTCTCTGAGGAAAAGTGCGCTGATGATGTCAGTTTGCAGGCTAGACAGCTAATTATATGGTCATCTGCAGAACATTAAACAGCACGTAATCATACCTGCAAATGTCACTTTGGTCAGTTTAGATGCCGGCGTGGTCCTTACTCTTCATTACCACTGCTTGCAGTCTGCCCTTGGCTCGTAACCTACTCAATAAGAATGTTTACCCGTTCTTGTTTGGTACCAGTTTAGTCTGCCAGCTGCTGCCAGTCCAACACAGACAGCGACACTCCCCCTCCTACAGCTGATAGAGAAAGACTTCTGGTATTTTCCCAAAGACTTTTCTTCCTTTTAACGCTAAAAACAAGAATAACTTTGAAATAAAAGTAACAATATTTCAGACTGCATAAAGGGATGACTTATGATTTTACTGTGACTTTAAGTGTCACACCTTGCAATGAAGTAATGTAGTGAAGGTTATTATTCTGTTATGCTAAATGCCATGCCACCAAAAATACAAAAGAATACCTAATTATTGGTTGTTAGGAAAATGTCACAAGGGTTTACAGTAGGATGGCAGATATTACTTTCCTTGAGGGATAGTGACCTATAAAAAAGGTGCTATTGAACTAAAAGTCACAATTTTTTTCCAGCAGTTGTTAATGCTTTGCTACATCTTTGTATTGGTTCTGTACACTGGAATGAAACGCATTTATATTTTGAGGACATAGCCCCTTACCCTAACTGTAACCAGCCAAACTAAATGTCTTACCCTAACCCTAATTCTAACCCTGAACCAATATTAACCCTCAAACAGCCCTTTGAAGAAGTGAGGACCAGCCGAAATGTTCCTGAACTGTTTTCATTCTGTAGGGTCTATGCTTAAAATGGAACAGGAACACACACACACACACAGAGTATAATTTGTGTTTGTTTGGTTTGTCATCATTCTTACATCATTTTATCTAATGAAATAAAACACATTTGTTAAATGTGCCTCTGCGCATAATTTTGCAACTGTAATACACTAATCTTGAACAGACTGCTGTTTAGTCTGGCCCCAGGTGGTACCACATAGGTACCGCACGATTGATTGTGTGTTTAGTGGAAGGATAGCTACAGTGGAACCCATCAAGTCCAAATTATTGTGTCATAATGTAAAATAATCCTCTGCTCTGCATGTGAATTGAATTGGTTCATTACAGTCAGGACAGACTGCAGCTCTACACTACATCCTCACACACTCTTCACCCATCGTCTCTGTGAACAAGTCGAATTTACTCTAGAAAAGAGAGATTTACTAAATAAATTCTGCCAATCATTTTTTATTTAAAGCCTGAGTGTTTTGACCCACTGGTCTGGTAGAGGTTTGTCCAGGGTGCCCTTCTCTCCTGAGGAGAGACACATGCAAATTAGATTCCAGACCTGACCCTTCGGGCAAACACTGTAGTCCAGGCAAAACTGCATTAGATTAGGTTCAAAGTGTCAGTCAGAAAGATTGAAAGATAAAAAAATATATTATAATTTTAATTATGCCCAGCTTACCTGATAATTACCATCCAGGGACGATAAGAAGCCCCCACGTGAATGGGCTTGATGCCGTCATATAAGAATATAAAAATCTGATTGCCACAGAGTCCACCATTACCTTTTGATTCACCTCTGTTTCCTCTGTACTTCTTTTTTTGCAGTCTTGTTTGGTCAGTTTGTGGTTTTCCAAACTTTGACCAGTGATGTGGTAGAGATCTACGATGGATCCTCCACAGATTCAGCCCTGCTCTCCTCCATATATGGATCACACTCAGGTAAAAAGAAAACATAACTCTGCATCCCTTAAAGGTCCAGTGTGTAAGATTTAGGAAAGGGAACTATTGGCTGAAATTTAATGTAGAATAATCCTCATGATGTTTTCACTAGTTCTTTTCATCTTAATTGTATGAACTGTAGTTTTCTTTTCTTTTCTTTCTTTTTCTTTCTCCCTTTATATTTAAATTCTTTGTATTTACATCAAACACCTTTTGAGTTTTTACGACAATTAAAGGCTACCACAGTTTCTTTTTCATGTTTGGAAGGACAGGGTGAGTTGAGGGTTGTTCACATGCAATTTCAACACTAGATATCACAAAGTCTACACACTGTACCTTTAAGCCTAGTGTCTTATTCTATTTATGCTACTTGATCATAGGTGTGAGTACTAGTTCGATCAAGCACAGCATTTTGCACTGCAGGCGAGAGAGCACACAACCATCTCTCAATTCAAATCAAGCTAGAAGGGTGCTTGGAGAACGCATACCTCTGCCAAGGCTAACACCCTATCTCCCCACGTTAAAAAAGAAAAGGAAAAAAAGAAAGTCCTGCTCTTGTCTGTTTGTTCAGACCCATTCAAAATTGAATAGGTTCTTCCCTGGGTCATGCCGCACCCCTCGATCCCCTGTGTCAATAAAAATGGTTGAGTAGTTTTTTCGTAATCCTGCTAAATAAAAGATACCCTAATGGCAATTAATACATACCCTCCTTGGCTGATGTAAAAACTGATAAGTTAAAATTAAGCAGCCTTATGTTGCCGAGAATTAAAAGATTTATTTACCCTTCTTACATTTCCCTACAACAAAACACAGTACGATACATGATACAGAATACATTTCATTTGCAAATGAATAGACCCCTGAGATCTCACTTAAAACAACAAAAGCAAAGTAGCTGTCTTATATTGTTGTCTCACACCACTTGATTAGACTGAAACAATGTAAAAATTCAAATTAATCTAATCTGCTGTTTCAGCTGCATAAATATTCAATATTCTGAGGATACTCTGTGGATTAGATCGGACATGAGACACAAGCAACCAATGGACTTTTTTGCTTTTTTTCATTTACATTTTAGTTTTATGTTCATAGCTGTCACTTATTTGTTTTTCTCCGGACATTTAACCATTTTATCTAAAACAGTCCTGTTGATGTTTGATTTCATTTTGTAGGCGAGACACTTCCTTTGAGTTCCGGAAACAAGATAACACTCAAGTTTTCCACAAATGGGACAGAAACGGCAAAAGGATTTCATTTTGTTTACCAAGGTAAGACTGCTTTTTCTGATGCGTTTCTAGAATTCTGATGTGGAAACGTATTTGTTGCGATTGAGTGTGTTTGCCTCCTTTTGAAAAAAGATACTTCAGCTTTGCTCTCATCACGTAGAGTGCTGTTCAGCCAGAGTGCCATTGGCCGTGGCTGGACATGGTTGAGCAGAGCAGGATGATGTGGAGTGAAAGAGTCTATCGTGGCAGAGCAGACAAGAGCGACTAATGATGTGCGAGGAGATTCACAAGGGCTTCGCCATTTCTCTCTGCCTCCTTTTGTCTTGCCATCTCTCTTCTCCTGGTTGTCTGCCTGCCTACCACACCCATCCACCACTCTTTGTCTTTGTACTTCTGCCTCTCATGCTCGCTTCATCCCCTCTTATCCCCTAGCTGTTCCTCGGACGAGTGCCAGTCAGTGCAGCTCAGTTCCCGAGCCCCGGTTTGGGAAGCGGATTGGGAACGACTTTGGCATCGGTATGGCCGTACTGTTTGAGTGCAATCCAGGTTACACGCTGCACGGCTCTAACGCCATCAGGTGTGAGGCCGTGCCCAGTGCCCTAGCCCAGTGGAACGGCACTGTGCCCACATGTGTTGGTAAGTGCCCTTATCCTCCTATACCCTCGCTTCATCCCCTGCATGGACACTGTCTTACTCTGCCTCACACACACACACACACAGAAATCCAAAGAGCAGGTGCAAAAAAATGTTTGGTGTCTGCTTTGCCTAGTCATTACTTATCCTAATGTCTGTCACCCATTACAAAGCATCCACCTATCTCAGGTCTTGATAGTTCAGACAGGAAGAAAGAGGCAAGGACAAACATAACAAAGTGTCACATAAATTTTATACCCGGGGACAAGGGATTTCAGTTTGTGTCTTTCCAGATTAATGAGAAAACAAATAGCAGTGTAAAGTGAATCTAACAGCAGCAACACACACTTCAACTTGAGATCTTTGGTTAACTTTTTCTTTGTAGCCCACATGCATTATATATACTACAGGTTTTTTTTAGAGATGTAAGTCGATACAAAAGACATGCATAATAATGTGTATTTATTACACTTTAATGCATGAGGTGTAAAAACATTAGAAACAAAATAGTGATTTATGAATGTGATGAAACATTATAATGCAATTAATCATGTGCACCAAGTACAGTCTAGACTTTTATGCACAGTAGCCTGCAACAAAGCGTTGGCTTTGTCACACCACGTCTTTGATACATTAATAATAACATGCATGATATTACGATGTGACAACAATGTGACAATGGGAAGTAATGAGCTGAAACTTTATATCATGTTTCAGCTCATTACTTACCTATCCAGCCTTAACTCCACTGTTTTGGTTCACTCTCGCTGTTCTCTATGTTTTCGGTGAAAAAGGCAGCTGCAGAGTACAGTGAGAAGTCTCAGTGAACTCTACCTGCTCAGAACCAAACAGACAGACACAGTTAGCAACTACAGTAGCTGGTGAACACAGTGCAGCACTTAAGGCTGCTGCACACTCGAGGATTTACAACTCTTTTTTTTTTACACATGGGAGACCACACTCTTATAATCTTCAGAACACACACACGATTATTTGAGCAGAATGTAAAACCAGCCACATATCCCAGTGGTGATTCCAGAGACTTGAAATATCACAGAAACTCACGAGATTCTTCTTTTTTTCTTCTTCAGTAATTTAATGATGGTTGGAAAAACAACTTTTAGGCGCATTACTAACTTGTGCGATTAAACGTTCAGAAGAAAAAAAACATGGAGGAGACCAATGTCTGTTTTGGAGAGAAATACAAAGAAAAGCTTGAGCTGGAGTTGAGTTGTACAAGTACAAAAAATTGTCATGCTTCCCCATCAGATCTCTCATTTGCTAAGTGTTATCAGGCTTTTAAATTTGGAAGTTTTGGTATCACGGGGGGGAGAAAAAGTAAATCACAGAATGTGAATGCTACAAATACCGCTTTAGAGATTATCATCAACACAACAACATTCAATATTCAAGACAGCCAACTCTGCAAAAGTAGTCATCGGATAACATATCATTTGATGTCATTTTTATTCAAAAGATTTATAAATCAAAATGAAGGGTAGATCAGAAATTTGATTTATTTTGATATTGCCAGAAAATACAAGGAACCGGTGTTTATGCAGGAGCCATAGATTTTACAGCCACATTTAATGGCCTGTATGCAAAGTGTGGATCATCCACTGAAGGGAACAATATCTCTCTCTGCATGTTCTTTGGGCTATAACCTTTGTCATAAAACTGTACCCACATAAATACAGATGCATAGCATGAGCAGATTGGCATGCCTTCTCTGCACACACCACTGCCAGACGTATATACACATGTGACACCCACCTGTCTACCTTGGGAAGATAAAGAGCCACAGATGAAGTAGGCAGAAATCTATTGAAGTCAGGCCTTGTGCCAGACAGCAAATAGTTCCAGCTGGTGAGTGCAGGAGATTTCAAGCCAGGGTTCATCCGAGTTCCTGCCAAGTGGTGAGCGAATAGTGGTGGCACGTGCAGTTCCATTTTAAACATAGTGATTTTTATCTGGAGATTGTATCTGGCTGCGGCATCTCCCCCAGCGGCAGTGTGCTCGTCCAGAATAATGGATATAGTTTTATGGAAGCTTCAGCAAAAACACTATGCTCAATTACTCAAGCCCACTTTATGAGATATGACAGTATCAGACACTGCTATCCTGTGAAGTACCTGTGTTTTAAAAGATAGATATCCAGCTCCTTGTCCAGCTCTGATTGACCCGGCACGTCATGCTACACTTGTGCTTTCCAGTTCACAAACACAAAGCTGCTGAATAAATGCTTTGGTGTTGAGTTGTGCTCACACAACATTTTATTGTGATTTAATTATCCTCACCTGAATGGATGCATCGTTTTTGGCTGACCTCTGTGTATGGAGTTTATGGAGAATGGTTGACTTGACTAAATAGATGTTTTTGTTGGTACCAGGTGGAGTTTGACTTTGCAGTCAGCCGATTAACATTAAAGTAATGCAGCTGACCTGAATTTTTCAGTGTCATGTAAATTATGGAATACCTTCAGTGTAAATTAACAAGCGTCTTGTGCTGGTTTTCTGTTGTTTTGTTCCCTGCACATTAAATAGAAAGGCAGCTGAATTTCACAGATAGTAAATCAGCTCTGATTATAGAAAATCATGACTCTCCCAGTCTTACATAAGCTCACAGATTGCAATGATTCATAGCTAGTATGCCCACACTGTGGAATTCAATGTTGGCTCAAACTCACTTTTCTGAAGGTGTTAACAAGTAAATGGTGTCATGTTGAGCTTGTTTTCTAACAGTGGATCCCTGTTTTAGAACAACTTTTCACAACCACTTTGTGTCTCATACCGGTCTGGAGCAGGGAGAGAAACACTTTGCTACTTTTAGTATTTTACTTAAAGGTCCAGTGTGTAAGATTTAGGTGAAAGGGAACTATTGGCAGAAATTTAATGTAGAATAATCCTCATGATGTTTTCACTAGTTCATTTCATCTAAATTGTATGAATTATAGTTTTCTTTACCCCAGAAAAGATCCTTTATATTTAAATACTTTATATTTACATCAAGGGGACCCTCTTTACGGAGGCCGCCTTTTTTTTTTTACATTAGTCCAGACTGGACAAACTAAAAACCTTTTGAGTTTTTATGACAACTGAAGGCTAGCACAGTTTCTTTTTCATGTTTGGAAGGAGAGGGTGAGGTGAGGGGTATTCAGCTGCAACATGCAATTTCAACACTAGATATATCAAAATTCTACACACTGTACCTTTAAATTCCTGTAATGAAAGTGGAAATTATTGCCTGTTTGACTAACACAGTATTTAGTACTTTTTTTTTAATCAAGAATGTAAGCGTCACAAATTCAAATACAACATAAAAGAACATTCACCACCCACTGCATACAGAGAGCAAATGTCTGTTTCATAAATAGTTTCTAGTCATCAGGCTGTGACGTTGTTTTGTTTTGCTCACTTTATTATACATAATAACTTTGACCCTCTGGCTAATATGGACCATTTCTTTTAGCCTCCGAAAACACTATTTGTCCTGAATCTGGGAGCAAAAGCTTTTTCTCCACATTTAATTTCCAATTAAAATGCCTGACATAATTTTGGGAGTGTTGAGTTTTCAATAGTTGTCTTCACACTCTTTCATGAAACAAACTAACCTTCATAAAATCACAGGGTTGTCAGCTTCCATGTTTTCGTTTTAATTCGAGGAACGTTGCACCCTTCTTGTTAAAGAGAGAGGACATGATGCTGTAGCAGAGACATTAAATATGATTGTTGTATGAAGTTTGCAATGTTGTCACATTCTGGATGACTTATATAAATATGTATTAGTGAATTGACAATTGGTAGTTATTTATTGTGCAGTCTGTGTATAAATTTAATCTAGAATGACATTTGTAAGATTTATCCTGAAAACATATATGACAAGCCATTCAGGAATACATAATTGAATTGTCACATTTAAACACATTTGTATTACACTACACACATTTAATCCATTGAGATTTTTGATTTCTCGATTACAACACTTTTAATTAAAATTCCCTGCATATCAGATGGTACTGAAAAGTGTCTCAATGTGTATGTGGTCCCCAGGCTTGTCTACCTGTGGTATCTGACATATGAGCCTGGTGCAGATTGAGAGGGGCGGGGGAGTGTTTTATGAGTGTCATGATTTTTAATCTTGCTCCACCAATTACATTAACTGACAGCTCAGGGGAGCCAAAGGAGCCGTTAAATTATACTGAATTACTGGGTCTTTCCCTGGAACGAGTCCACTGCTTGTTATCAGGATCAAGAATTTAAGTTTGTTATTCTTTAAAATGGTTTTAATCTTTTCCCTAGACTTTATTTCAGATGTGAGGATTAGAACTCATAACCATAATGAAAAACATAATAATTTTCATACTGTGTACCTCTATTCTTTTCATTTAATTTTGGAAACGCGGCTGGAAAAGATAAAACAGGAAAACGAACCTACTTAAATCATCTGATTACTCATCACATGTTTTTTAATGCATGAACACATCAAACCATCAAAGAGCCTTTAACATATCTCCGCAGGTCAGTTCACTAAATTTTAATAGGCGCTGACCTTCATCTTTCATTTGCTGAGCAGAATTCCAAACAATTACACAAGCTGCTCTCCTTCAGTTGTGATGTAGGAGTTAATCGATTTCGGTGCTGAATCCTCTACGTGTGACATGCGTTAGCTGAAGATGACATTGCTGTTGCAGTCATTATGTGGAAGTGTGATTGCTGCACTGTGTCATTGCTGTGAGGAACAGTATAGAAGTCATTTCCTCTAATGTGCCACACGGAGTGAAAAGAACAAAGAAAGTCACTTTGGCCGAGTTCCTCGAGCATGTGTATGAGGGCAGATATCACCTGTAAAATATTGATAAGCTTCATATTGTGCCAAGCCCATAGCCTGCGTGTGTGTTTTTATAGTTTCTAGCTATAGCGTGTTTTATTTCTCTGCTGCTTCCCATGTCTCTTGCCTTTCACATGGAAGCCTCCAGTGGCTTCTTCCAAAACAGTAATTATCATTGACCTGTACAGGGTAAAACCTCGTCCTTGACAAATAGCATCTGGTTCTTCATTTTGAGAACACATTGTACTACTCTGCTGAAGGGCTTTCTCCGCTCACAGTGACAGCTATCCTCATGTTCCCTCACTGTAAGGGAACTGTTCAATACGAACATTAACCATGGATATCAGAGGGCTGATGCTGCAGTTACTGGGGTGGATGTAAAAGAAGACAGAGGGTCTGTTGTTTCCCTATCCTGCAGTTATATCTTTAGAAAGTCTAAGGAACACTTGTTTCTGTATGAGTTGTAAAGGGGGAAAAAGAAAAAAGAGGAGATGGTACGTTTTAGTAACTGGCTTTAGACTTTCACACCACAGAATCTGTCAGCGGAGCAATGGCTCGCAACAGAGCAAAGCAACAATGGAAAAAAAAGCAAGTACACTTCTGCAATCATCCTTACTGTAATGATAAATGATTTTGCTGGCTCTAATGACAAAGTCATAACAGCCTGATAATGATGGTAATAACAAGCAATAGAAAGATTTCAGACATGTGGAGAAAGATTTGCAAAATTACAGACTATGGGAATGTTTCCTTGGAGCTTCTGAGTGATGAAGGCTGTGCCAACCCACAATTCATCTAGTTCACAAGAAACCTCAAGTGGACTAACTGCAGACTTCTGGAGAATATGCCTGGGTTGTAGACTTTACCACAGCTCACTGATTGAACTACCTACAATTCATTTCAACGTGACTCCTGAAAAGGTTTTTTCCAATTACCAAGTAAAGACACTGAAAGAACTTATTATTAATGTGTAACACATTGACTTTATTATGATTTTACTCAAAGTGTAGTAAGCCAGAAATATTATTAAACCACAACCTGATACAGAAATATCTTGAACTACAGGCTATAGAAACATCTAAATGCTTTTTATCATTCTAGTCTTTAGGTGAGGTTAACCTGTAAAGCTTTGCAATGTTATGACACATTGGTAGAATAAGAAAAATAGTCGAAAAGACGATGACATGAGTAGCGAGGTGCCCATTTAGAATTGATGTGACGATGGTGAAAATGTCATTGTACGTCCAACTGAAGTCCACAAGGGCTCATTCCATGAGTCCAGAGGGTGGATTTTTGGAGTCCGTCTGTATTTCTAATGGAAGGGAATTCAGTTCTGTGTTTTGTTGAGTGTAATAAACCAAATGATTGTGGTCTGCAAGGCTGGGTTACCACAATCCTTAATGGACAAAGAGTGAAGCCAAACGCTATGTACAACATAGCTGGCCAGATACAAAGCCAACTGGCATCCATCTGAAAAGCAATAAAGAAATTGAAGCTGTTATTGCCCTTTCCTCATTTTTTTTTTACCCATGCTCAAATACATCTCAGTGCCTGACAGTGTCACCATGACCCAGCCACTGACTCCAATTCACCATAAATCTGAGAGCTGAGAGGGTCAATAAATATGTTACTTGTGGCACTGGAAGAAACAAGGTGCGTACATGCAGGAATAACATTCACAATTGAAAATATGTGATTTGTGTCGCCTCCGCAAGATAAAATTACACATCAGGGTTGAACTATTTGCTTCCAAGGGAGCGACAAGTGTGTGCTGCATTGCAGCGCTCTGAATATCACAATGCAATGGTATCATGTGGACAAGGAGCCATATTCTAGAAAAGTTAATTTACATGACATTCTGAAAGTGGACATTCTGGCTTCATCATGAAACGTAGTTATTTAAGTCATTTAAAATCCATACAATACTTAATATTACTCTGTTTTTTAATGTGCAATATTGCTATTAACATGCAACATTATTATGTGTTTCATCATATTATGTTCAACAACGTGCAATTACTTGCTAATTAGTTTAGTGTCTCACGTTATATATTTTATTTTATTTTGATATCTATCATTTCTATTAGGCACTGGTTCTGCATTTACTCCATATAAACTTGACAATTGTGTTTTCACTTATATTTCTTAGACCTTATACTCCATTGTTTTATTCTAATGTACTCTATTGTATATTGTGTGACTGTGATCTTGGAGCAAGCTGGCAAAATAATTTCCTTCGAGATGAAAAGTCTCTCATATCTTAACCTTAATGATTGACCCATCATGAACCCCACTCACTCCTGGCTCTACAGGTGCTTTAGACATCACATCTCTCAGCCTCGTCGTGACTCTCTTTCTCTCTCTCTTTCTCTCTCTCTTCCTTCTTTCTCCAGTTCCCTGTGGTGGAGTATTAACTGACCGTAGAGGCACTATCCTCTCTCCTGGATACCCAGAGCCGTACGCCAACTATCTGAACTGCGCCTGGAAAATCTCCGTTCCTGAGGGAGCCGGCATCCAAGTGAGAGGACACAAATACAGGCCTTAGTATTATCATGTTTGAAAAGAGATAAAGATTGGATGGGTGGATTGAACTATGTATTAAACTATGTATCTGCACCATTTTAACTTGTGTTTTCCTTTTTTGTAATTCCTGTATTTTCCATGCTCTTTAATGTTCCTATTAAAGCGTCTTTCTTTTTCAGATTCAAGTTGTGACCTTCGCCACAGAACACAACTGGGACTCGCTGGATTTTTTTGATGGGGTTGATGGCAATGCTCGGAGGCTTGGTAGCTACTCAGGTAAATCTGATACAACTGAATTTCACTTGTCAGCTCCCTCTTGAATTTCAGTCATGGACGTCACAGGGCCCCGGCAGCAGACTGATGTGTTGATGGAACTGATTGCATTTGGCATGTCCTTTGAGAAGGCTGTCTAAAAAGCAGTTAAAGAAGTCGAACAAAAATACACTTCTTCTCTCACACAATGTTCTTATCTGTCGTAGAGTTCTTTATAATGTAGTCTCCTTTTCAGTCTGGCATTTTCCAAGTGCACTACTGTTGCCTCAAGGCTCACGCTAATGAACATGGTGCTCTTGCCACATGGTAACCTACTAGAAATACGCCAGCACATAATTTTAGATGCTGAATCCTATTGTAAGATGGACTGGTGTAGGATAATGAGTCTACCTCTATACTGGCTATCAGTGTTATGAGACTAAAGTAGATTTCTCATATGATGGATATCAAATTTTTCAACCAAAGCCTTTTCATATGTAATAGTAATAGTCATGGCGTTATTAAAAGGGTAAAACAGTTGAAATGGCTGGAAATCAATTATTAAGGTGATTCCAATTATATTTAAAAGTCATACTCTATTTTTTGACACCTATTATTATATATTATATAATACTATATTATATGGTGTATGAATGTATTTACCTATTTATTTTATTTTAGGGTTTCCTATCATATATATGAAGCACTTTTATTTTTGCACCATGATTTTATTTGTACCTGCTGATGTACTCTGTAACTCATTAAGCAAAGTGAAAAGGCTGCTGCCAGTATATGTTCACGTGTTATACATTTTCACATGTCTAAATTAGGAATATGTCTTCTCTATAATGTACAGGTACAACAATTCCCCAGCTGCTGAACAGCACATCCAACAACCTGTACCTGACCTTCCAGTCTGACATTAGCGTGTCCGCCGCCGGCTTCCACTTGGAGTACACAGGTATGAGGAGAGACGGCTCGTCTGGCTGCCTGTCACTTTGTCTGCTGTCTGTATCTATGTGTCCATCTGCTGCTGACTTCCAGCAGCTGCAGAGGGTTATGCGACGTTAGAGGGACAGCTGGTTTGGGTGGCACAGTTGGGCAGACAGAGTTTGAGGGAGTGAATATGTGGGCTTTTTTTTTTTTTAAACTTCCTCTGTATGTCCACTATTTTTCAGTCTTTGTATCTGCTTCTCTTGCACTCTTGGTAATTCCAGATGGTGTCATGTTTAAATCCTCCCATAAATTTTAACTTACTGGACCTTCATCCGTTTCCATTTAGTGAGTAAATTTGCTCATCTCTTAACAGACTATTCACATAGGGGTTTATTTACTGATGAGCATGCCAAACATTTTAAGGCGTGTAGCTGGCCCCAGTGGAGCGAATTATTTACAGAGTCCTTCAATTCAAAAACTATATAAATGAAAGTAGGGATGATGCATCTGCTGGTGGTGCATGGAGCTCGTTGCACTTATTAAATAATACTGTCCTTCGAGACCAATTTCCCTTTGTCTCTTTTCATGTCACGGTAATTTCCCTAAGGTTTTATTTTGTCTCTCCAAAGTTGGATGGATTCTAAGCTTACGCTTTCTCTGTTTCCTCCTCACCTTTGTCTTTCTGCGTACCCTTCACCGACACATTTAAAGAAATCTACAGACACGTGCAGCTATGGGCGACTCCTTTGTCACAAATTTCCTGTGAGGCTCCTATGAGCAGTGTAACAGTGCAGCCATTGGGAGAGTACGAGTGGAAAAGATGAACTTCACAACATTCAGATAAAGTGTTTGAATGTGGATTGCATAGCTCAGCCAGCAGGTCCAACACTGACATTCCATTCACAACGCAACAAAAGAAGCACACGTTTTTAAGTAAAATCCGCTCCCACAAATGTGTTGCAAAACAAAAGAAGCATGAAAAACATTTCTGTCACAAGATCTGTCCTCGCTGTCAGCAGTGTCAGTCCGCGAGCATCATACCACTGTTGAGAACGATTTCACAGCCATGTCTCTCGCAGTCAGTGTTTCGTTTCCACAACACCCTCCTCTTGCTTGGATCCACTCCACAGCCATGTCTCTCAGTGGGCTCCTTCCTTTCTGCGCTAACCCCCCTCCCCCACCGTCACTACCTACTGCTGAGAATCACTTCAGTGCCATGTCTCCGCTTCAGCTCTCTCCTTCATGACTGTCTTACACTTTGCCACTGCTGCCCTTGTAAAGTGCATTTGCTGATTCTCTGTGTAGACCTCAGGGTCTGGTCGTCTCTATTTCTCTTTCTGTTTCTATTCATAATTTCTTAGCTTGCCTGCTCTCCTTGGGCAGACAGCGTGCTATAGTTGAAAACAAAATTGGCACTTTTTCACAAGCAATATGGCGATTTGCATCCCAAGTAACATCCCACACTGGGCTTCAATCACAACATGCTCTAGAGACCTATATTATTTCCATTTGAATTACATGGAGGGATTGTAACAGCAAATTGAATCAATTTCAGACAAGTTGAAAAGAAATTCATCCTCAGATGTCAGACAGACAGATCTGCTTGAAAACACACTTTTCAGGCAAACTCATATATGTATAGGTAGTAGTTTAGTTTGTACTCCTATAATGTCAGAAACGTACCTGCACACCGCAATTTCATGTAAAACTATACTGTGGTCTTTTTTATCATATGATCACCAGCTATTATTTATGCAGTCATCCAAAACACTCACGTGGCAGCAATACAATCTCTAAATCATGACTCTATAGAGGTCAGGGGTTCGATTCATGTTTACATCAAACAACAGAATGGGGCAAAAAAAAATAATCTCAGTGAATTTGACCTCGACCTGATTGTTGGCACCAGATGGGCTGGTTTTAAATATTTCACTCTTCAGAAGTGTTGTGAAAAAAGCATCAGAATGAACAACACGTTGAACCTTGATTCTGTCGGCCAAGAACAGAAATCCAAGGCTGCAGTAGGCACAGGCTAACCAAAACAGCTGAAGACTGAAAAGCGTGGTGTGATCTGATGAATCTGGATTTCTGCTGTGGCTGCAGAAATTATCATCAACAGCATGAATCCATGGACCGACCTGCCTTGTTTCAACAGTCCTGGCATGTGGTGGTGGTGATGTAATGGTTTGGGGAAAGTTCGCTTGTTACCGGGCAGACACCCTTAATCCCAATCAACCATTCTTTGAAAAACCAGAACGCATCTGAGGATTGTTATTGACTGTTGTGTTCACAATTGACCCTTTTCTAATTTTTACAGCATGATGTTGCTCCTCCATGCCATAAAGCAAAAGTAGTTTCTAACTGGTTTCATGCACATTACATGACCATCCTTATTTTTTTCAATCTTTGAGTCATCGATGCATATTTTCATTCTTTTAATTCAATTAAATGTGAATGCACTGGGTTATGAAACATTTCAGTCATCTCACAGAATGCTGCAGAGGGGAGGCTGATTGCTCTCCACAGTTAGGACATATCAAAAATTCATGAAACTGTTTAATTTATAGCTGCATTTCACTTGGATATCAAGCTTATTTTATCACAGCCTTGCACTGCAAACATTGCCCTCATGAATCCTGTCCCCGAATCTTTTTGAAATAACAAAATTCAAAATGGTTTCAAGAAAAGTTGTCAAAAATAATTGTTTTAGAAGTGTCACGTGTTGAGTGAAGATCCCTCGAAAACATCACATGTTGAAGAATCCTCCCACTCCTCTTGTGTTGTGGTTCTTCTTCAGTTGTTTCTGTGGCTGCTCTTGTTGCTTCCTGTCTCCTCCCACTCAAATATCCGCTCTCACTATCCACTCACTAGATGCTGAGCGGGGAGGCCACTCCTGTTAGTTCTCTGAAGAGCTGCCTAAAAATTGTTCTGAGTATTGTGTGGTCATCCCTGCTGCCATGTTTACATTCATCCACCCGCATACTGCCCTGTTAACTCATGGAGTGGGCTTGAGTGTGTGTGTGTGTGTGTGTGTGTGTGTGTG